CTTTTAATGGGCACCACAGTGTATTGATTACAGGAATGCAAGTCAAGACCGAATTGCACCAAACTTATGTAGGTGCTGCTCTAGAGCTGCTCCAAAATGTGTACTTTTTTTTATACAAAGGTGCTTTAAAACAACATTCTTTTTGCTCCGAAAATTGCTTCAAAATCAAAACTCACTGAACCGCCCCTGCAAGCTATGAACTTGTCCTTTACCGAAATGGTCACCTAAAAGCTTGCCAGTAGCCTTAAAGGGCCCATGAAACGAATTTTGAGTTGGGATAAATCATTTTAGATTGGGATTTTACTAATAGCGCATCGTTTAGTGGGCCAAAAGAAAAAAGTTAGAAAGTCACAAGCCTGACTTTCAGCGCGAAAATTTGAAAACAAAGCGGACTATTTCGTACCTCCTCCCCTTCGCAAGCTCTCTGCCTTTTCACTGTGATACATCCGCGGTCCCAAACGCGCGTCATCGGATCCAAACGCACGTCACACAAAACCGGACCTCACTTAGTCCCTTCATCCGTAAGCTGACATTGTGGTGGAAGCTACGCGCTTGCCCGACAAATCAGCCGCCTCCCTTTCATCACCTGACCTCATTCTCTCCACGTGGGTATGCGCGAAGGCAAGTGTGGCTGGCCCAACGAGCACGTAGCTTCCACAGCACTGTCAGGTTCGGGGTGAACGGGTTGGGGAAAGCAACTTTTGTCTGAATTTTGAGCGACGGGCTAATCTTCTAGGGGGAGAATGGTTGTGTCCGGATTACACGAACCAGATTCCGAGCAAGAGGGGCCACCCCTCTTTTCGTCTTCTTGAACTTTTTGGTGGAATGCGCGATTTATGAGTTGAGGAGGAAAGCTAAACAGGAAAAAGTTGGGAAAGCGTTTCATGACCCCTTTAAAGGGGTACTCCGCCGATTTTTGAGCTACCTCAACTAACTATATTTTCTGACTCCCAGGCCTTTACCCTTTCTGGTGTGCTATTTAGTATCGCGAAATTCATAATAGTTATTGCGAAATCGGCAAATGAAAATGATGCAAAAACAGACATTCAAATATACCCGCCCTTTTCAGGGCTGTGACGTCAGTGGAAGTTCAGCTTGCCAGTCGGGCGAGCAGTCTAAAAAATAGAATATGCCAATCATTTGTTCCGTGCTGGAGCGCGGGGACTGGAGCGAGCTTCCAAGGCATTCATTTGACACCATGAAACTGCTTCGAATCAGTTGGGAACAAATTCTATAGTCCAAAGAGTGAACCCCTGCACTTCCAATGACGTCACTTTTTCATTGTTGCCAGTAGAGACTTTCAGTTTGAAAAACACGGTGAGGACCAAAATTGTAAATTCAATAACTTCGTGAAAAAAAATTATTTTGAGCTAATATTTGGGATACTATTTTGGCGATGTTGTTTGGAGAGTTTAGCAAAATTTCAAGCTAATCGGGGACCATGAAGAAATCGGCGGAGTACCCCTTTAAGCTACCAGCTCTTGGTTTGAACGTTTTATCTTGAAATTACCAGCTCTTCATTTGTCCAAACAGCCATGGAGCAATGCCCATATCAGTTAAACCAATATTCATCATGGCTTTGACCGCGGCAGACTGAGGCGAGATTCCTTCCCAGGATTTGTCTTTAGGGTCTATGGGCTAGAGGAGTCTTCCAGCAGGTTCACTACGCTTTGAATCAGCAGTCAACTTGGCGTCCCATTGCTTGGGTGGTAGATGCCAGTTCAATGGCAGTGTTGCATGAGTGGTGTTTTCAATGCTGCAAGCTTAAAGTTTTTGGTGGAGTGTGTGACAGGGATCTGCCTCATGGATACCAATATCATCAGAATTTAGTGTAGGCTCTATAGGGTATACCATATAAAATATAATGTAAAGAAACTGCATAAAACTACTTGAAACTGCTTGGTCTGTAAAGGAAACCATATAGAAAATCTTCTGGAAATTATGGAACAACCTTCTTGACACCATTGAAGTTCATAATAATAGCTTAACTTATCAATAGTATTTCTACTTGTCATTAATTTATGCTTCATGAGCGTGCCTTGTTTATTGTCTGACGACTTTTAGTAGCTTTCAGTCATACAAAAATCCGTTTTTCTTAAAAATATGTTTCTGTAGTTTTTAGGCATGATATTATGTCTTTCTCATTTTAAGTTTTTTTGTTTGACTGTTTTGATGCTTCCAACATAAGAACATGGGAAGGGGTATAAAACAACTGCAGAATCCTTCATGCTCCAAATGTTGTAACCTTTTTGTTATAAAACTTTAAAACATACCTTTAGTGTCGAAACTCAATATTCTTTTGCTCTTGCTTGAGGCGGGCGTGTATTGACTGTACAATAGTATCAGGGGTGGAACGGCTGCGCCATTTGCGCCATTTTGCGCCAGACGCATTTGTCTGCGCCATCCTGCGCCATTTTGCGGAAACTGCGCCACAGCCAATACCTTGCGCCATTATGCACCAAATCGCACAACGTGCGCCAAAAAAAAAAAAAAAAAGAATTGTATTTTGTCTTGGTTTCGGATTATGTATCGACTCAATTGGCAACAATGAGCGCGTTTAGCTTGGTCGGACTTGCCATCCTTTCTTCTCTTTATTCTCCCTGTGTATCCCGAGTCGGAAGCACGCGAAAAAACTCGCCTGCGACAGGATTGTTATTCTTCAACCATAAGCGGTTAAACAAGTCGGCCGAGGTGAGATCGAGTCGTTAAGCGTCGGATAGCCTGAGGGTCTGCGGCCCGGGTTCTGGACATCAGCCAGTTGAAAGCTCATCAGCAAAAGATTCCTTCGAGTGCTTCATCGTTGGAAGTTAAAACCGCATTCTTGCGAGATAAGTCATGATTTGATTGAACTGAAACGCTGTCCGATCCGAATCCTTGCCGGCCAGCAGCTCTCACGCGAGCGGTAGATCTGCTCGGCGCACTTTAACCTTGCTCCTGCTTGTCGCTTCGAATACGATAACTCCGTTAATCGTAGTCTGCTGCTTCGATATTGAGTTGCACAATAGTATGAACTCTAAATTTGTTGCCCTGTTGCTCCACGCAACTGCACGTCCGTTGCTTATCGCACGCCAAGAGGGTCGCACATATAATTACTATGTCCAGCACGTGTGGGAATTGTGCGATAAGCAGTGCTGGTTTGCATTTCGAGCAGCTGAAAGCCACTCAGAAAATATCAAGGACGCCATCTTCAGAAACATATGGTACTTGCTTTTTGGTTCTCATTAAGGCTCCCAAAGTTTCAAGTTTTCGCATCTGTTACACTGTTATCCCATCTACCTAGGTCCCTAACCACTCATGTCCATCTGTGCTGCTAAGCACATTTAAAATTACTCCCGTGCTCGTCTAAGACGCAAGCTGAAGTGCAATGCAAACTGATCTGGGCTGCTCTTAGCCTGCTCCAGAATGGAGTTTTAACTGCTCCCAACCTGCTCCAAAACAGCGGTTTCAGCTGCTCCCGTGGCTGCTCCCAAATACATTTCATGAGTTCCACACCTGTAGTATGTATGGTGCACCCCAACCTTGATGCCGCCACGAGATGGTCCAGTTTCTTCACTTTTTTACCTATTTTTGAGCCTAGCAGTCAAACTAGTTTGTGAAGATTTGTGTCCCGGATAAAAACCCTACCCGGGGGAAGTTATTCCAGCAGCTGCAGTGACCAGTTTATCTTTGGTTAGAATGCAATAAATCACTATTTGCGTAACCGAGTGGCGGTGTTAAGTTTGAGGGGCACTCTACTTGCTTTTCTATGCTCAAGGACCCATACATATGCTTACAGGACTCTTCCAGCAATAATGCTGTCAATATCAGATTAAGCACCACATTCCTTGATTCTGCACATGCCTGTGGGCTAAGGAAGAAAACAAATGGGGCTCGATGTGGTTCTATGTCACTATTTTCTTATACTCTTTAAAGGGGTTCGGAAACTAAAATTGAAATACACAAATTTCGTTTGGAAATGAGTGAGGTGTGACGGATAATAACCGTAAATGACAATCGCATGTTTGTATTTTGACCAACTGGCTATGTTTTTCGTCCTAAATGGTGCACTCGAGCAAGCGCTCGAACAGAAGCGAACGGAGAATGCAATGCGTCATGGGACATCGGGCGCAAACAAAAACAGAAAGAGAAGATTCCCCGCATTCGTGACGTTGCAATGCTGGCGTGGTTATGAGCTTTGCCGTTGGTGGCGTTGTCAGGCGTTGTGGTGGTGTCAATAGCGTCAACTCATTACAACCGAGCCGTTCGAAGTACTTTTGGGGTGACGAGCGTGTGGCTGGCCCAAGGAGCACGTAGCTTCCACAAGACTGTCAGCTTAGGGCTGAACAAGGTGGGAAAAGCGACTTTTGTCCGAGTTTGAGCGACGGGCTAATCTTCTAGGGGGAGAATGGCTGTATCCGGGTGCACAAACGAGGGTCCGAGAAAGAGGGGAGTCCCTGCTTTCCGTCTTCTTGGACTGTTTGGTACAATGCGCAAGAGGAAAGCTAAGAAGGAAAATGTTGAAATTCCAAAGAGCAGTGCTGCTCCGATAGAACTCCGATGGAACGTTGGGGATGGCATTCCCCAACGTTGTTAGATTACCTCCCAAATAGGCTCCACATGCATCCACCAGGTGCACATTGAAAGATTATTTAATTAGCTTTAAAATTAGTTTGCTTGTGCCTTTCAACGAAAGACTGGTATTTTTGCGGTTATGCTGCAACATGCAACGTTTCTCTTAAACTGTGACCGTAAAAAAGAACCCCATAGTTTGTTGCAACATGAAGATCTAGACTTCTGCCTCTTGCATGGGCTTTCTACCTTCAGTGTGTGGCTTCTCCTGCTCGTCTTCATGTTGCAGCAAACCATAGTTTGTCTAATGAGTTCACCAAAGCTGCAGCAATGATTCGGGAGGGAACTGGAGTGTTGTTTGTTTTTGTTACGGCTGGGTCCTAGCCTGGTTGAGTCGGTTGTCGGCCTGCAGCCCCCTGTGCGTTCCTGACCGCTGATGATCTCTGTCGCAGGGTGCTCATGGGCCCCGGGGGCAGGGCAGCCCGATGGCGCTAGCGGGCAGCCTCCCCGAGAAGGGGTGAGGGGCGGCGCGCCATGATGCGGCCGGCGGCGGGGGGCGGCAGCGAGCCCGAGGCCAAGGGGCCCCGTCTGCTGCCCCCGCCCCCCCCCCTCGTGCCCCACGGCCCACAGGGAGTACCGCCAGAAGGCCCTCCAGCAGATCCGCAACAGCCTCATGCCCTTCGCCCACCAGGGCAGTTCAGCAGATAGTCGCTCACAGCGCTCCAGCGCCAGCTCCACCGCCAGCGAATCCGGCTCCTACGCCTCCCTGCCCTCACACGCCTCCTCCGAGGTGAGTGTCGCACCCTCTCTCTCTACCTCCCAGGTGGCCAGAACACTGGTCCAGGGTTCCTGCTGTGGGCAGTTCTCGAGGTATATACATATGTCTCTATACGTAGAGACAATAAATCAGCTACGCGTCGGAGCTACGACACTTCGACCACCTTGCTGCTTGAAATCATTGTTGCCAGTCGCCCAAAGTTTTATCTCGAATTGCAGGAAAGGATTTTCCGTCCTCCAGAAATGTTAAAACGGTCCGCGACAGAGCTAAATGACATCATTTGAGCTTCTGGACACCGTATTTAAAGCTTGGGAAGTCACAGTCTCGAATTGTAACGTTTGCCAATTGCACCTACTCTGCTCTAGGCAACAAAATGGCGGTGCCCAAGGGGCAGTCGGTGAATGGTGTGCCCTAAGCGTGGCATATTTAGTTGCTCTAGTTGGACCAAGTTTCTCACATCTCTGACACCCAACCAACGATTGGAAATGGTCTCCTAGAAGCTTCCAGGTGGAAACTGGCTTATTGCCAGGCGGTCCGGCACCTTCGAAGTTCTGGCAAAACAAGGTCTGCCAGTGTCTGGTCTTCCAGGGATACCCTTTAGATAGTCCTCCATCAAGCCTTGTTACCATGGGGGTAGGAAGCTTCTGGAGGCGACATGACGCCACCAGAGGTAAAGCCGGTGGAGACTTCCGGTTTGGAGGGACACACCCCCAACGTTGACCAAAACCAAAAGATGCTATTGGACAGAAAGTAGAGCTGATTTGGCACCATTGGCTGTTTTGGTCACTCTTAGGGGCGTTCCCAAGGACTTCCGGCTTCACTTGGGATTTTCTCGTTTGGCTGTCTTGAATCGGTATGTCGCCTCCTCCTCTTCCTACCCTCGTGCCTGCTACCTTCATGCCTCGTGGACTCGGTTGAATGGTTACTCTTAAAGGAGCGCTCAAGTAGATTCTGAGATTGTCTATTTATGGTGATAACTCTCTCTACACGCTCCATGCATCGTAAAAAAAAAATGTTTTGGCCAATTAATTTTTTTATTAAAATCTAATCAAAGATAGTGACATGCCTCTCCTTCTTTGCCTTGAAGCAGACGCCGGGGAGCGGCGCATTTTTAAACAATGATTGCTGTATTACGTCTATTACACTTGAGGATTTGACGTTTTTGTCAAAATATAATGCACAATGCGCCTAAAAAAAGCAATAATAGTAATGTTCGGAATCTCCATGCAATTAAGTATTTTCAATGGTCAAACTTTATGGAAGTGGTGGGAACCCGAAAATGCCTTCCTCCTTCTCCCCTCCCCGCAAGAGAAAATAGTACCTGAGAATTTCAATCGCTACGACTTTACGGATGTCTTACCGTCTATAACTGTTCATTTTTATTGACTAAATTAAAGCCCAACAGACAATATGCCACTGAAAACAAGCTTCTACGAAAAGCACCTGAGTGCCCCTTTAACGACTATCGACGTCACTTAAGCTCGCATTGCAGGCTTGGTGAACGGCATTGAAGCCTGCATGGGCATGATTGTGAGATGCATTTTGTTCATTTTCGGGTTCACTGTGTCAAATGCTGTGGGGTTGCCTGCCGGTATAAAAAAATGCAGCAGCACGACCTACATCCCTTTGGGGTGGCAGCAGCTTGACACTGCTGTGATGTGTTTCGTTGGTCAGTAAGCTGTATGGATTGATTTCCCACTCCTTTTGGAACTGGAGACTTTGTACCGTCTGTAGCTCTTTGATTCACCTTGCGGGCCACCCTGCTTTGCACTGTAGAACCTCCTGCCCCCCCACTTTTGTGCAAGGATGTTCAAGCAAATGAACACGGGTCTACATTTGTAATGTAAGACAGTGGAAGGAAGAAGTGCTTGGAGACTGATGGAGGCTCAAATGACCTGTAGACTTGTGCTAAATTCTCATTGTGTTAACCTGCTGTGATCGCCACCTTATTGAAAAGTGCTTTGGTTATGCAGTCAGTAACACCACTGTGTATCCGACCAATGGGTCACTCAGCTTGGCGTGACAGCAAACTGTTTTTGGGCTGTTGTAAATGAAAGACGTAGAGCGCAAAAGGATGAGACACCAACAGTAAGAAATGCACGGGAGCGCTGACTTGCAGCTGAAGTTTAATCGCCATGACCGCTAGTATAAATACTGGAGGCATCGTAGACAGATAAAGACAATGCAGAATCCTCGTATGGGTCTGTCTGTTTGCTTGAATATCTAATACATTTCAAACACACATTAGAGCGAGGAGCAAATAATAAAATTAGTCGAGAGCATTTGAAGAGGATTTCGTATTTAGTGTCAAAGAAAATTAAGGTGTCAGGGTGATCACACAATTTCTCTTATCACAATATGTATCTCACTAATGACACAAGGGACATTCAGTCTGGATAAGGACTAAGGCTATTCTGTAGCTTCATTATAATTTATATATGTAATAGTCACACTCCGACTTTTAATGCTAGGGATGCATCTTCCCTTGTTTATTTTTAAAACCAGGCGATAGGTACTCGAGGATGGGGCAGTCTTGAAAAGAGGTGAAACTGTTCCTTGCATTAGTTTCTGCTATTGGCAGGTACCACTTTTTGTGTCATGGAAGAGACTTGCTGGTGTTACCAAGGGGAAAAAGCAACCAATTTCATAGAGCCTGACCATGACCTCGATTTTTTTTTTCAAAATATGTGGGTCTGCGTATGTGTATTTATTTTCTGTGCACCAGGTAAACATTTCGTTGATAGACATAACCGAATTTAATAGGACTATTTTCATTCATATCCCGAATCTTTGAATGGCAAAGACAGCTGATAAAGTTTAGGTGAATTCACTCTTGCAATCCACACATTGCAAGAGTGCACCATGCTGGTCAGCTACCCTTCCACTCTGGAAGCTAGAGATAATGTGGTACTATTTTCTCTCAGCCGCTATTTGGACTCTTCTAGAATTTGACACGGGCACATTCAAGTTCTAACTTTATCTCTCACCATACAAGCAGAGAGAGAGAGAGGATGCGAAAAAAGCAGTATAACTGCTTGATACGCTTCTTCCCCAACAGCAATAAAAGTTGCCATCAACTCAGAAAAAAAAAAAGACGAAAAAGAGAAAAGTAAAAGCAGCACACATTTTAGACAGAGCTTTTGAAAGTAGATTGCAAGAAGATTGTCTGGAGTTGGCAATAGCGTCCTGTATACAATTTAGAATTATAGTAGTGGAAGACATGCCTGGAGGCCTCTTTAAATTTCAATATATGTAGCAACTTTATGTTGTGGACTTGTTCTTAGGCTGGCTTTATAAAATTGTGTGCATGTGATTTTTTTTTCAGGGTACATTAATTTTATTTGTTTAATGTCCACCAGATTGTTTATTTAGAGGAATCTGATGTCTCCTTTGGGTTTACCGGGGCTTCCTAAATGTTTAAAAACCTAAGTGGAAAAAAAAATTATTTTTTATATTCAAGTAAATCAGATTTATTTTATTTAGATCAGATTTATTTTATTTAAATCAGATTTATTTTATTTAAATCAGATTTATTTTATTTAAATCAGATTTATTTTATTTACATCAGATTTATTTTATTTAAATCACTGTAGCTAAAAATAGTAACTGCTTGTCATTACATGTATTTTTAAACATCGACCAATCCGTTAGATCACTGATAACAATGTGGAAGAATTACTTAAATTTAATGCACAATTTAACAACCTTTTATTGATGTGTGACCCCCGTCATACAGAAAATAAACTTTGCTTAATTTGGAAGGCAATGAGGTTCTACACGTGGTATTATTCTAAAAGTAAAACTAAACATAATCGACTCAAAAAAAAAAAAAAAGAAATTCGCATGTTAGGTTACAATTGTTCGCGGAGGCATGTTTGGGGATCTTTACAAAGATTGGAGCGACGAATAATAAATAGTAGTTATAATGTCGTTTTACCTACTTGCATATGTATATCACTAAAAAGATATAGATGCTCTCTTTTGAATACTTTGAGATTGAGTGGTTCAAAAACGCCACACACGACAATCGTCGAAACCTCGTCGTTCTTTGCCGCTTCTTTGAGATTTCTTTTCTCAGGCTAAACATGTTAAGACATTAAAATAAAAAGGATTGTTCTTCTTGGAACATGCGCCACAAAATATAAAAATTTTAGGCAAAATAAAAAATATGACTGCACCTCGTTGCCTGAATCGAAATGAAACCGCCCACATATATTTGCATCGTGTTTTATTTATTGCAAGGTACGATATGTTATTAAAGCTTTATCATTGTTCGTTGTGCGTCCTCACCTAGGTGCTATTCTGGCCAACGTCGCGGCGTGGTATAGTTGGTTACATCATACAAGCTTAAAAATACGTGAAATTGTGCGTAATGTCACGTTAAAGTATTTTACTTGGCAACAAAGCTTGCCTTTTTACAAGCTTTAATTGCCGTCATACAAACAAAATACTATATATTTATATTTTCTAATAAACCAGGATTATACCTTGTTACTGGTAAAATATGAAGCAAGTAAAAAGTTGGGTATTTGAGAAAATCGATTCCGAATTTGCCAAGTTTTCGAAACATTCTTTCATTCAAATGACTGTAACGGAATTTTTTTTGTACATATAATATTAAATTTGTATTCGTTTAAAAATAGCCAGATTTCAGCATTATGGTGATGCCAGTGTGATTAAAAATTAAGACATCTTGGGTCATACGTAAGAGCTTGCCAAACTTTGCCAAAATCATGAAAAATAAACGACGTTCCAGTTCTTTTTTTCCCAAAATATGTTCAAAAAAATTCAACTCCTTAGACCGAATAATATCTATTTCGTGTCTCACACATAAGTTCTGGAGCGATATTTTGAGAAGCGGGAAAATAGCGAACAGTCAAACATGCGATCCCCGACAGGTGGAAAAAAAAACGTCAGTTTTCGCATCGGCCACTTCAAAACCAATATCCTAAAAAAAAAAAAAAAAGTTTGCTTAGCTTTTTGTTTGTTTGGAATGCTCCCAAAATATACAC